CTGGGCAGGTGCAGGCCTGGTGCTGATGGACAGCGCCCCCTGCAGGGCCGTCAAGGGGCCCATCCCCCAAGGTCCCAACAGAGTCACCACACAGCATCGAGAGGCTGGATACGCCTTCTTACAAAACTGAAGAAAGAAAAAGGAAAGGAAAGAAAAAGAAAGTCTCGCCCGGCCGGCGGGGCTCAGGGATTGAGCGTCGACCTAGGAACCAGGAGGTTCCGGTTCGATTCCCGGTCAGGGCACAGGCCCGGGTTGCGGGCTCCATCCCCAGTGGGGGGCGTGCAGGAGGCAGCTGATCCATGACTCTCTCTCATCATGGATGGTTCTCTCTCTCCCTCTCCCTTCCTGTCTGAGATCCATAAAAATATCTTAAAAATAAATAAGAAATAAAAGTCTGCAGGTGGGACTCTCGCGCTGGGTCCCAGGCCACCCCCGCGGGCAGAATAAACGCCCCCTGGTGCCGTGTTAACTGGCTTTGAAACAGGAAGGAGAAGCCATTCCTGGTGAAGGATGGAGCGTCCGGCTCCAGCGAGGGGAGTGTGGGGACGAGGACACGTCCTGGAGCCTGAGGCCCCCACCCTGCCCCCGCACACCCTCCTCCTTCAGTGCAAATCCAGCTGCCTCCCAGCTGAGGTCCTGAGAACGTTACTTAACCCCAGGCCTCGCTCCTCCTCCATCAAACGGTGACAATAATAATAATAATAAAGCCTTAGAGTGTCCGATGGAGATTCCGTTATTACAGGAACATGAGCCTGGCCGGTGACAGGGTTGGCATGGCCGATGGGACAGGGCCTTGGCCGGAAGCTGAGGAGACCAGGGCTGGGCAGGGGAGGGCGGGGCCCAGGCCTCCCAGTGCCCCCCGGGCTGGCTCCCAGCTCAGGATGGGGACCAGGCCCGAAGCCAGGCCTCCGCCAAGGCCCCCGGGGTCGCCTGCAGACTTAGACCTGCAGACCCTCTCCTCCGGGGCCAGACGGCAGCCGGTTCTCACAGAGGAAAGACAGGACGGGCGCCGGTCATCGCAGGCGACGGAATCAGGTCATTTTCCTGGCGTCTACCGCACGTGAGGGAGCCAGGACCGCGATGCCACCTGTCCCACCAGCCCGGCCTGTTCCCCCGAACGCTGCGCTGCCCAGGCCTGGGGTCAGGGGGCAGGCCCCTCACTGTGCTTCCCTGGACGGGGCCCCAGCCTTTTTTATACTTTTCATAGATTTTCATTGATTTCCGAGAGGAAGGGAGAGGGAGAGAGAAACATCAGTGATGAGCGAGAATCATGGACCGGCCGCCTCCTGCACGCCCCCCACTGGGGATCGAACCTGCAACCTGGGTCTGTGCCCTGACCGGGAATCGAACCCAGAACCCTGGTTCATAGGTCGATGCTCAACCACTGAGCCACACCAGCCGGGCAGAGCCGGCGTTCTAAGTGCCCAGGCCCCTGGGGAGGAGCCCCACGGTCAGCCCAGGGGCCACCCCGTCTCATTTCCTCTCTCCCCGTCATTACTTCCTCCAGCCGGGGTTCCCGGGGGTCTGGCTTCTCCAGCAAACAGCTCAGATTCCAGATGGGCCTGGGCCTGACGGAGGGGGCGGGGCAGGAGCCAGCGGGGCCTTGCAGGTGGGGGGCTCATTGCAGACACTGAAACCGGAGCCTGAGACGACCCCGGGCGGCTGGCCAGGTGACCGCTCTCCCTGCAGGCCTGTCAGCTACGTCCTCTCACACCCAATGATTACTTTTCCCCCCTCGACTGAAATCCCCCCCGTCTTCCCAGATGGCTTTTCCAGGCAGGCAGACGGCGGGAGGGCCGCTCACCACCCCCACATACGTCCCCGGCCCCAAAGTCCAGGGCCACCGGGACCTCCAGCCCGAGACCCGGCCGGCGTGGCTCAGGGGTTGAGCGTCCACCTATGAACCAGGAGGTCACCGTTCAATCCCCATCAGGGCACAGGCCCGGGTTGCAGGCTCGATCCCCGGTCGGAGGCGTGCAGGACGCGGCCGATCCATGATTCTGTCTCATCACGGATGGTTCTCTCTCTCCCTCCTTCTCCCTTCCTCATTAAAATCAATAAAAAATATATATATTTAAAAAAATGTTTAAAAGTAAATAAGTAAACAAAAGGGCCCGTGGCTCCCATCCGTGGCCCCGGCAGGAACGTCCCCAAGCCGGCATTGCTCTCTACCTGCAGACCCGTCCACCACCTGACCGGGGGCCTCATGGGGTCTGATTTAGGGAATATTTGTGGCACCTTCTGGGGACCGCGAGAGCGAGCAAGTTATTGCCGGAAAAACTGCACGCATGTCCCGAGACACGGGGTCTGGCCTCCCCCTCCTACCCCCCCCCAACTTTCCCCCATCTCTTTGGGCAACCCTTGTTGTCATGGAGACACTAACACAATGGGGCAGGTAGGAAGCCTGTTGCCTGGCAACGAGATGCAGGAGGAACAGGATTGGCTGCCGAGGCCTAAAGGAGCAGGAGGGCTGAGGAGGGAAGGTGGGGAAGAGGGAACACCCTGGGGGGACAGGCGGGGAGAGAAGCTGAGACTGGACCTGGGTGA